AGAAGAATCATGGGAGAAAGAAGGGCTGTTTATGCACAGGGAGACAGGTCAGGGGGCAGGGGTGCATGGAGAGATGGACACAGGGAAGAGGTGACTGTCGGGAGGAAGTGGGAGGGGAGTTGTTGCATTGTGGTGAACTGCGGTCAGTATCATGAGACAAAGTGTATGTGAACTGCTGTATGGAAAGTGAATTTTCTTTGTAAATTTTCACCCAAATCACAATAAAAGAAAAAAAAAAAGAATCAAATGAAAGGGAAGAGACAAAAAGTAAAGGTAAGTCCAAAATAAGCATCACTCTCTATTCGTTCTCTGAAATTATGATGGAAAGACACCTAGATACACACTAAAATCCAAATACAAAGTCTAAAAGACTCAGGAAAGAAGTCACTTCAGGTCATTCAGAAACACTACTGTTTAAAACATCATCCTAGAGACAAACAAAAGCTGTCAATAAGAACATATTGAGTGATTATAAAATGTATGGAAAGTGCAGGGGGGAAAAAAAGACAGAAAAGTATCTACCAACACCCAGACCAGGGTTTTGAGCAGAGAGATGAAAGCTAAGGCCCATGGGGACAAGAGCAACACCACTTGCCAAAGGCCTTGGGGTCAGAGCCTGAACACATGTGTGGAACTGTGGCCTATCACCACCATTTTACAAATTACAGAATGGAGGAAGACAGGTAAGGGGTGTGACTTGTCAAGGAACCCACGGCCATCAGTTGTTGTTGTTGTTGTTATTTGCCATCGAGTCGGCCCCGACTCCTCAGTGGCAGGACTCAAATCCAAGACAGAGCTACCTCCTCAGGCCATTCAGAGCATGGTGCCACAGTTTGATCTTGCTACAATGTTATCCATTTGCTCCTATTTTTTTTCAGGGATAAATGGATATGTTTCAATATAAATGTATTCTTTGGTTCTTCCTTCTGCCTTCTTGAATAGTATTCCCTTCCCAGGAACACACCTTCTTTGGCTTTCTCACAGTTTCTTCTGATACTATTTTCTTTCCTGGACTAGAACCAGCACTGCCCCTTTAGCCTGGCCAGGCTTTCCTTGTCCCAGCTGGACACTCAATAGTGGAGTTAATGGACTTCAACCAGAGGAGTGTGGCTGCCTCAGACAGAGAACCCTGAGACCAATCATCTAGTCCCCCACCTGCCTGTGCACTGCGCTGTGCATGTGATTGGGCTCAAGTGCCCTTGTCTTCCATCCATCGCCCAGAGGGAGGTAGGAGTCTCAGCACATGGATCCTCTGGCACTAAGGAAATCAATTAGCCAGCTCCCTACCCAGTACCCTACACTCTGCTCCTACCTCACCCAAAGCACCAAGTGAATCTCAACATCTATCTATATCTATCTCTCGCTCTCTCTTGATCTCGCTCTTGCTCTCAATCTCTCCTACCCACCCCAGCTGAGCATGTTTTTGAAGTATTTTGCTAAATACAGTCAGAATTACATGAAAAGATAAAATATGTTTGGACATGGAACAGAGGCTTGCTGAAAGAATCTCTGGGCTCATTAGTGACATAAGACCCCAATCTCACCCCTACCTCCAGAGAGACTCTGGTTCCACTGTCTGGTGGCCCAGGAAGCTGTGCTTTCTAACATGTACAACAGGTGATTCTTATAGAGAGAGAGTCCAATTACCACGTTATTAAGAGACACCATATAGCAAAGAATACTGAAAATATCAATGGACAGCCATAAGAATAAAAAAAAATCTGCATTGGAAGAAGTACAACTGGAATGCCCCTTAAAAATGACAACAGCCAGACTTCATTGCATGTACTCTGGTCATGTTGGCAGAAAGAACCAGTCCTTAGAGAAGGCTATTATACTTAGTTAAGTAGAGGTCAGTAAAATGAGAAGACCCTCAATGAGATGGATTGCCACAGTAGCTGTGGTGATGGGCTCAAGCATAGCCAAGATTGTGAGGATGGCACAGGACTAGGCAATGTTTTGTTCCATTGTACACAGGGTTGCTATGAGTCAGAACCAACATGATGTCACCTAACAACCACAACAATATATGAATACTGGTACCAATAACTGACTCTCTCTAGGCTGCTGGCTAGGGAGAAATCCTCCTCCATTCTAGTAGTCACACCTCACACACCTACACCTCATTCTTACACATCAAGTTTAATAGTGCACTAATTAACATACCTGCATGTCAACTGCGTAATTATGACTGACAACGGTTGGCCTCCGTGTCACATAATAGGCCCAGACATTTTCCCCTGTGCTTTCCAATACTTTTGGCAGTAACCAAAGGCCTCGAAGAAACTTCGGCCCAACATAAAAGAACTCCTTTGCCTTCCCAGGCTTCTTGGCTTACATGTCTGCTGACTGAGAGCTCCCCAAGGCTGAACAGGAGACAGGAGGTCTTGGGCCTCCAATAGCACCTTAACTCCATGCAACATATTATGACCTGGTCACACCCTTGAGATCCCCTGCCCCAGGCTCCCTCTTCTGCAGCCCCTGCCCTCCCTCCTGCACCTGATCACATCCTCCTTAGTCTTGTTAGTCTCCTTAGCCATGGACCAATCCCACTCCAGGAGGCCTCGCCTGACACTGTTCTGCAACCCTAGGTGAGGAGTCCTCCCAGTGCCTTGCACCCTGTGGAGGAACTCACCCCACGGAACAATTGATCCCTACAGTCAGCTCAGAGGTACCCTCCTGGGCCTGAGTCGGTGGACAGGGAGAGATGCTGAGTTTCATCCAGCTTGGAAGGTCATCAGCACTCAAGCTGCTCTCCACTGTTGAGGACAGTCATGACAAGAAGGCTCAGATATCCACACTGTCACAGCCCAGTCCAGGAAACCCTATCCCAAACTTTCTAGGTCTGGAGGAATTTGACCTGGCTTCCTAGGGACTTCTGAGTAGAAACAGGTCACTGGAATGACTGTCCTGCTGATGGCTGGTGAGTGAGTAAAGAGTGCCAACAACGGCTGTGGTAGGTAGGTAAGAAGAGGGCTTGAACATGAGCTAAGCTGCTCTCTTCACAAAATCAGCACCCCCACTCCCCACAGTAACTACCCACAGACCCTCCAAGCAGAAAATGGTTCTTTCTCCAGTAAAACACCAAAGAATTATACTCTTGAAAGAATCTTCATCCCCAAATATCCATCTCAGGGCTGTTCTGAATGTTCAGAAATCTATCACTGGGGCAAAGGAGAAGGGAGCTGGACTGGAACAAGTGTGATCCACAAGGAAGAGGAATGTTTCAGAATCCCATGACATCCTGCAAAGTCCTACGCTCTTGAGTCAAGAGGACTGATTTGGGTTCCAACCTCCGTTTTCTAATCCAAAAGATGAGTGGTAATAATAATCCCTCTAACACATGGTTGTTTTAAGATCAAATGATATAGTGATGGAAAGTACTTTGTCAACTAAACACAAACTATATTCCAAGGCCTGATTATTTCTGAAAAGGAAGTCACAGAAGCTAAAGATTCAGTAATAGCAGGAAGTGGGGTATATTCAAAGACCGAAGCCCTTCGAGTCCCACTAAACTGCAGTGCAGAGGGCAGAGGTATAGCTACAAGAGCCCTTACTCCTGAGACACTGAAGGTGTCTGTAAGGGGCATCCCTAGCCCTCTGCTGCAGGTTCAGGTAAGCAGGAGTCAGGGAATCCACAGTTTTCCTCAGCACTCTGCTTGCTGAAAGGCCAATGAGCAATACTGAGAGGAAGCAGGGCAGTGTCAGTAAAGTCTGGACTGATACATAAGAATCACCTCCATGCTAATCAAACACAAGATTCCTGAGCCCAACCCCAGGTTTGTTGGGTCAGAAACTTTGGGCGTGGAGGCTGGAGAATTTTATTTTTTAATAAGATTCTCAAGTGATTCTTATATAAGTGGGATAAATATAAGCCAAAGAATAGCAGGAAAGCTTTGCAATTAGGAAGACTTCTGTCAAATTCCAATCCCATACATAACAGCTATTTGACTTTGGACAAATTATTTAACCTTAATACAGAGGGAATCAAGTGCAGATGCATGCACACGTGGTCTTCATCTGAGCGATCCTAAGAGTCAGGGACAACCGTGTCCCTTATCTTTTAGGGGAAAAATCTGCCACCAAGAGTATAAAGGTCTTGTTAGAGCCTGTTCATGTGAAAGCAGAACTCAGCTAATGTCCTCCAACTTGGAGGTTCATCTCAATTTCTGCATCTGAAGTCCAGAAAAGTGAAACAGGAGGGCAAGATGGATTGAGCTTTAGTAGGAGTCTAAAACCACCTGCTTCCTCAGTGTGGGGCCTTGGCATGGTCCCTGAGAGATCCAAGACCCATCTGTATCCAGTGTCTCTCTTAGGGTGAGGGCATAAAGGGGGCAGTGGCAGCAGGCATCTTGGGCAGGTCCAGTCTAAGGCTCTGACATTCTGAGGAAGGGGAGAGGGGAAGATGCAGGGCAACAGAACTACACACCCAGGTACTGACTGTGGGCAGGGTCTGCAAAAGCTGCAATCTTTCCATCTGGCAATTGGGGTTCCTAAAACATGGGACCAATTCCCAGCTCAGTGGCCTTCTTCCTGCTTACTCAGTGGATGGAGCTGCTGCTACTACCTCGCTGTTTCTATGTTGTCTCTAATCTGAACGTGAAGGTAGTTTAACTTTGCTGTCTCCAGATTTACCTGAGAAAATTATCCAGAATGAACTTTATGTTCTGGTATTGGCTGTTACATATCTTGGCCTATAGGACCTGGTCAAGGGCCACAGAAGGAACTTTAGGCAATTATACCTGAGGAAGCATTTCCCTCCTTTTTATTTCTAAAGTAAAACTGTTGGGGATGAGGATTCTCAGCTTCAGGGTGCCCTTTGTTCTGGCTTAGACACGAGGTCCAAGTGACAATCCCATAAGGCAAGAGAGCGTCAGTCCTGTCCTGGGATCCTTGTACTCCCCACAAGAAGTGGAGCAGCTCTCCAAGACACCTCAGCCCTGGTCCTGACCGCTCACTTCTGCCTAGCCCTGGGTTCTTGTAGGGGCCCACCACCTTACCTGCTATATACGAGGCAGCCCAAGTGATTGATCTCGTGGTCCGAACGGTGGCGACTGTAGTCCTCCCACAAATCTTTGAAGGCTGTGACGGCCAGGATGAAGAGCACAGGCGCCAGCGCCAGGCCGGGCTGGAAGGCGTTCACCGCTGGAACGAAGTTGAGTAGCGCAATGAAGACGAAGTACACGTTGGCCAGACGATGGAACTGCTCAAATAGGTTTTTGGGTAGGAAGGACAGCAGCGTATACTTGGTGGTCTTGAGCCGGTTGTCAGCCAGGTGCCGCGAACCCTTAGCTGCGCCCATCGCAGGCTCTTCGGCGCCAGGCGGCACCAGGTTGGAGCGCACCACGCGCGTCAGGCCCTCCCGCCTTCGGCGCCGCAGCCTCCGCCGCCGCCGCCGCGCCTTCTCCAGGGGCTTGTCTGCTGCTGGCCGCTCGCGCTCCATGGCTGCGTGTCACCCTGCCAGCCTCTAGGTAATCATCGCCAGCTGCCCGGTATTGCGGCGCGGACTCCCCGCCTGCGGAACGCACAGAGACTACAGTCAGCGCGCCACTGGCCCCACCCGGCCGGCGTCTTCCGCCTCACCCCTCCGCCCCAGCAGCGCGTAGACTAGCGGGGGGAAAGAGGCCCTTTGTGCGCACCGCCCACCCGCTAAGCTGCTGACCCCTCTGCCCGCCTACGGCTCATCCTGCGCGCGCTCCTCCCCGCCTGCGTTTGGGCCCGAACAAGGCGGGAGGGAAACCCAAAGGGCTGGAGCATACAGCGTTGGAGTGGCTTAGTTTCGTTTCCCAGAAGGATTGGCGGGGTCCTGAGCAGGGCAGATGCAAGCCCGCGAAGAGTAGGAGTCGCGGAGAGTATGGGAGGAAAAGTCCTGCAGTACCCTCACAGCATAAGGCTTTCCCCAGGGCTAGACCCGCTTAGGCCCTGGACTTGGGAAATAAAAGCCACCTCTTGGAGTCAACTAAATTCGAAATACAAATAAGCCCGGGCATGCCAATGCTCAGCTGTTTACATTTACTGGGGGCATCTGCTTCCTAGAAGGTCCCAGAAAGCAGGAATCACTGTCCTAGCAACCTGTCCAGCAGCCTCCCCTTCGCAGCTGCTGCAGCTCCATCTATTTTCAGCCTCAAGCCCTGGGTAAACTAGACCTTTTCTCCTTTCCATGACCACTCCATTTCCTACTCCCCTGAGTGGGAATTTTTTTTTTTTTTTTAATTGTGATTTGGATGAAGATTTACAGCGCAAATTCACTTTCCATACAGCAGTTCACATACACTTTGTCTCATGATGTTGACTACAGTTTACCACAATGCAACAGCTCCCCTCCCACTTCCTCCCCATAGTTTACCTCTTCCCAGTGTCCATCCCTCCATACACTCTTGTCCCCTGAGCTGTCTCCCTGTGCATAAGCAGCCCTTCTTTCTCCCATGATTGTTTTCTCTAAGGAGTGTATCTAACTGAAGTAGATGTTCAACTCATATGCCTGTCTTTTGTTTGGCTTGAAACCACGGGTGTGGGTTCAATTCCAGACCTGAAGGGCAGCTAGGGGCCATAGTCTCAGTGGTTCCAGCAGGCTCTATCGGACCAGCAACCTGGTGCCCCCCCCCCCTTTTTTTCCCTGAGTGGGAATTTTTAATTGTGGAGAAATAGACTGCTATAGCAGAGGCAGGCTTTGGTTTTAAGGCATTTCCTTCTCTGGTAAAGGATGCTGAGGTCCAGACAAGTGACTAAGGAATTAAGTATGGTTGTTGAGGGCAGAGAGTGGGGCTTAGGGAAACATTAGGAGGATAAAGCAGAACTGCCAAGGCAAAAGGGCCCTCTCCTTACTCATGGGTGAGAGAGAAGGTGAGAGAGGGAAGTGGGCTGAAGGTGGGCAGTAAGAGAGCATGCTTGGGGAGGCAAAGAAAGCTTGAGAGCCCCTATTCTGCAGTATGATTTTCCCAGATGCACGCAGTACTGATGACTTGCTTGTCTGTGCTTCATTTAGACGTGAGCAAGGGGAGGAGTGTCTTTTCTCAGGAAGCCCTGGACTGGGGAATTTTGTAGGAGGGGTGCTTTGACTGCAGGTCAGCCTCCATGGGGACACTTTTCCTGCATTGAGACATTCCTCACTTCCCACACCCCAGATAATGCCCCCATTGGCTGCCAGCTGTCCTTCCTCAAATACTTACAGACTTGCTCTTCCCTGATTCTGTGCAAATCACTCCATGCAAATCCTTCTCTCTATCTGGGGCCCACTTCTGCTCCCTGTCCCTACACTCTTCAGCTAAACAGGCTTCTACATCCCTATGGAGAGCTTTACTAGAAACCATATTATGTATGGAATCCACCACAAGAGAGTAGAGGGATAGATATTATTATAGTAGATATTATTATAAAAAATAATATCTGCCATAGATAAAGCCCCGCCAGGCATAGGGGTGCAATTTTGAGTGGCTGAGGCCCATATCAAAGAAAGTTCTGGTGGAACACCTGCATTTTCAGGGAAAGAAGTCAGATCTCAAATGACCAGTGACACCCTTAACTGAATATCAATGAAAAATGAGGAATGACCTCAAATATCTTGGTTTCCAGAACCTGACTCCTCATAGCTCCATCTCTTCCTTTCTCATTAAACCCAATTGGACCCCAAGGCCTGATGATTCGCTCCATTGGCACAGCTGACTAACTCCCAAACCCTGACAGGTATCCCCAGATATCCTCAAAAGCCTCCCTGCAGGACTCCTGGCCACCCAGCTGCCTTGCTTTCACCATTCCACACAGTGCTGCTAAAGTAATTACTTTGTCCCTTTTTTCATTTCCTTACCCCAGAGCTTATAAAAGTCCCCTGTTGCTTATAAAGTCAAATTGTGACTCCTCAGGGAGAGCTGCAAGACCCTGGGGAAAACTGGACAGCAATTTCTGGATTTACTTCACCCCTCTCCTTACTCCCAGCCCAGGCCTGGGGCAATGGGCATCCTTACCCTTTTCAGAACAGGCCTTGTTCACTCCTACCTGCATTCCGCTTTCAGGTTCCAAGATTCCATGAGTCACACTGCCCTGTGTGGCTGGAATCATTTCCCATACACTCTTCACCAATCCAAATTCAGTATTTTCTTTAAGGCTTAGTTCAACTGAGTGGTCTACAAATCTTGTTGAATTACTTTCTGTTCTTATGTGTGTGCTATTGTGTATAAATTTCCTTCATAAGGCTCATTGGAAGTGTTGAGTTTGGATGTATTGGCCAGCTAAACTCTCAAGCTTTTGATTGCCAAAATGAGGATAATTCTCTGGGCTAACAGTCTGGCCAGCTGAATTCTGATAACTCCTAGACATCACATGACACTCCATAGCAAATACTTTTTAAACAACCAGTGTGAACCTGGCACTATTCCAGGCACTGAGGATACAGAAGATAATCATCATCTACAACAGACAATCTTATGGATCTTATATTCTAGTAGGAAGAGACAGCAACTAAGCAAGAAATAGTTTACAGAGTTGTACGTTAGGGTTTGGTTGTGTGAAGAGTGAGATTGAGGTGGGCCTTTCTGGAGGGGGACATGAATCAAACTTGAATAAGAGGGAAAAGACTAATATTTTCAATAATTGATGCTGGGAGAACTGGATTTTCACAAGCTAAAGAATTAACGTGGACCCATACCTCATACCATATATGAAAACTAACTCAGAATGGATCAAGGAACTAAATGTAAGAGTTAAAACTATTAAACCCTTAGGAGAAAACATAAGGGTAATCCTTCAGGACCTAGTATTTAACAGTGGATCCTTAGATATGATGCCAATAGCATGAACAACAAAGACAAAATTGATCAATTGGACATCATAAAAATTAAAAACTTTTGTTCATAAAAGAACTTTATCAACAAAGTAAAGCAATGAACTGCAGATTTGGAGAACATTTTTGGAAATTATATGCCATACGAGAGTTTAATATCTGTAATATATAAAGAATTCCCACAATTCAACAACAACAACAACAAAAAGACCAAATCAAAATATGAACAAGGGACTTAAATTTCACCAAAGGAGAAATACTAATGGTCCACAGACACATGAAATATGTTCAGTGCCATTAGTTGTTAGAGAAATGCACATCAAAACCATGGTATAATGTCACTTCACCGCCACTAAAATGGCTATGATTTCAAAAAAAAAAATAGATGTTGACAAGGCTATGGAGAAATTGGAACCCTCAGCCATTTCTGGTGGGAATGCAAAATGGTACAGCCACTGTGGAAAACAATTGGAGACTCCTCAAAATGTTAAACACAGAATTACTATATGATCCAGCAATTCCACTCTTAGGTATATACTCAAAAGAATTGAAAGTGGGAATGCAAACAGATACTTATACATCAGTATTCACTGCAGCACTATTCATAATAATCAAAAGGTGAAAACCTAAATGTCCAACAGATGAGTTGATAAACAAAATGTGGTATATCCATACAATGGAATTTTATTCTGCTGTAAAGAGAAATGGTGTTCTGATATGTGCTATAGCATGGTTGAGCCTTAAAAACATTACACTGAGTGAAGTCAGACTTAAAAGGACAAATATTGTATGATCCCATTTATATGAAATATCTACAATAGGCAAGTGTACACAGGTGAACATTTATTAGCATTGACCAGAGGAGAACTGGAGAAAGGGTGCTAACGAGGCAGGGAGGCCACATCTTCTGACCTCTTCTAACCACACAAGAGGAAGACAGAATCACTATCAGTAGCCCAAGGACCATTACTGTGAGGCCAGACAGGATACCTCCCCTCCAGCTCTTTTACAAACCCTGACACCAACAGTTCCTCCCACAGCACTCACCACCTCTCTGCTGGCTTTGATAATTCACTAAAGTGGCCACACAGAACTCACAGATTGTGGGGTTTAATAGGGTAGCACCTGGCTACAGTTCAAGTTCAAGAACAATGCTCAGTCTCTCTCAGCCTGCTATCTCTCAGCCAAAAGTCTCTCACAGTGTCTCTCTCAGCAATGCATGTCTCTTGAATCTCTTTCCAAGCAGCATGTGTCTCTCTGGAGTGTGTTTCTCAGCAGCACGTCTTTTCAGCCAGCATTCAGAGAGAGAGAGAGAGACTTCTGCCTCTAGGAGGCCTTCTTTTGAGCCTGGCCGAGTGGCCAAACTAGCCAATCATAACATCAGAATTCTAAGCCCATGAGAGTGAACTTCCCAGAACATTGTTTTGTGCCACTCTCAACAGAAATACCCCAGATGGATAACTTAAATAATCAGGAGCTCCTCAGTTACCCACAGCAAATTCCACTATGGCACCATGACGTTTAGAAAGACTTACGGCTAGAAAAGCCATACCAGGTAATTTACTACACTGCAGGCCACCCCCTGGCTTTTCTAGCCATTATCCCATCCCTTTTATACTTCAAAAATTAACATCCCCTTCACCATCCGTTTAAGAATAACCACACCC